AAAAATTTTTGAGGCGAAATACCCAAAAAGAAGTTTGTAAAAAACTAAAAATGTGTAATAATTTAAGAGAGTATGACACCCGTTTCCATATTCAAACTGTTTTTCATTGTTGTAAAGGCATTCATTAAAAAACTGTTTCTTCCTACAAAAACGCACAAGTCACTGATAGGGCTTCCAAATTCTCATAGAAGAAACACTAAAAACCCGCTCTTACCTGGTGGATGTATTTTTATATCCAGCGAATAAACTTAGAGCATGAGTGGTACAGTTGGAGCCGCCCAATTTGCAGGCCCATCCCTGTACCAGCACCTGGTGTAGTGTGTAAATATGATTCGAAGAGTCCACAACTGTTAAAGGAACAGTTTCCAGTACCGGAGCAGTCAAATTGCTGATGTGGCTCTAAAACACGCTCATTTTACCCCAATTGATCTCAAACCTCCTCTATCGTTTCTCACCGCAATGGCAGCTCCTAGAGTGGAGTTAAGCCCAGTGCGTTTCAGCAGATATTCGAAGCCACTCAGCGCTGAATACCAGACGTGGTACGAAGTTTCATTGGTCAGGAACTCGATGACGCTGAACAGCTGGCTGTAGCTGATGTAGCCGCCTCTAGCCAAATTGAAGCCGTCGCTGACTATTTGCGCCCTGCTTATTTCGGGTATGCCGGAAAAGTTGCTTTGGGCCAGCGCGGTAACCAGGTTGCTCCAAAGGCTTGAGTCGTAATTCACTCGGTAGTATCCTGGAATGTATTTACCAACTTCAGACTTTTTGTTTTGTGGTGCCTCTAACACTCACCGGTATGCAGATTGTTGACAACAATCCAAGATATGCTAGAGCTGACATTCAGGCTGAGGTTGGAAGTTGGAGTTATCCAGGCCACAGGGGTGGTGTTGAAGAAGTTGGACGCATTTTCAGATGTGGTGTATGTAACTGGAATATACCAGGACACATTGGTGGCGGTGGAGTTGCTGAAGACAAAGCGAGCCTGCAATTGCTGACATCAGGAAAAACCTCTGGAAACCCGCAAAGCTCTACCTGTGTTAAAGTCAACTGGCTGCCATTGAGACTAACATTGACCACTGGAAATCCGGGCGAATCGATCCAGCTTTCCATCACAGCAGACAAGTTAGCAGGCAAGGTCCTATTGGTGTTGTTACCTAAAATGTCCCACAGGTCTTCAGGCTCAGCGGAAGAATGGGCACTAGAATCCACAGTTTAGTTAAAATCCCCGTGACAACCCCCATAACTCACTAGGTGCTCAGGTAACGATTAAGTCCAATTTTCCAGGCATCCGTTCCCAAAATGTGCTCGACCATCCTCAGGATGCTGCCTCCTTTATCGTAGCTGGTCGTACTGAACCGGGCAGAAATCTCACTTTGGGTTGTTGCATTGGTGCGAAGCGCCTCCGTTTCGTCCACTTCATCATCCATAGCATAATGCAACGCTTTAGTTACGAATTGCTTGTCCGCCTCCAGATCAGGATACACCTGTGACATTTCCTTTAATCTTGGATACTCGGGAAGGCGGCGTCGAAACTTGCCTCATGCGTAAGGAAAAACTCGAAAAACGTAGCAAATCCTTCGTTGAGGAAGATTTCCGACCACCATTTGCAAGTGACGAGGTTTCCGAACCATTGATGAGCCAACTCATGCGCCACAACTGTAAGTGTATATTGCTGGTAGCTGTTTGATGTTTCGTTAGCGTCGTACAGTAGAGCGCGTTCTCTGAAATGATTGCAAAGTTTTTGAGGGTCGTTTCTTCCCAAAGGTAGCAAAGTGAGGACGAAATTGTGGCTGAAAGAATGTCAAGGTTTGGGACTGAAAGAGTCTGAAAGGGGACTGTGGAGAACGTAAACAATTTTGCTTAGGAGAGGTCGTAAACTGGAGAATAGAGAACCGAAGCTGTTATCCTTTCAACTTTTGTGGGGCGCGTGCTAGAAATTTTTTTTGAGATCTGGTTGATCTCTGAAGAATTCCTATGAATACTATGAAGCGTTCACGATCTTTAACCGACGATTTCTTCCTTATTATTTACCCAAACACTTTATAAAAGCACATTTCTGACCTTACGTCGAAAGGAATCGATTGAGCTCAAAAAGCACGCACGTGAAATTTTGGTTTTTGGTCGTCATTTTTCTAATGGTGGGGGTCGATTTTATGAAACAGTGAAAATGTTCTCAAAATGTGTTAAATTTTACATTTTCAGCTCGCGGATGCGAGGAATGCATCAAACTCATTGAAAAACATGCTAGGAGTTTCAGATTGCTGCATGTTGAATTCCAAGCACTTTTTCGATAAATCAGCTCAAAAAGCCTTCGGCTCTATGAAATTCAATAAAGAAATGATGACTTCAATAAAAAACACATTCTCAGTATCAAAGACCAAATCATCTGAATAATTTACCTGTAGGTGATCAAACCCCAATTTTCCATAGCCCCGGATGTAAAGTCTGGAATGGCCACCTGATCCAGCTTGTTTATGTTCGAACTGTAATTGATATTCAGATATGTATTGAAACTGTCGACGATTTTTGGTCCTGCCTCCAGAGCTAAAGCTCTGGTGGAAGCAGTTTCACTCCTGGAGCAAACCTTGAAAATTGCGCAATTAAAATTTTGAAATCCTTTTCAAGATACCAATCTTTACCTGATTGAGCAACGATCCTTCCAGGTCATTGGTGGAATCGCAGGTAAAGTTAGATACAATAAATGCCACCAGATAGGTGGACATAATCGGGGTGGGATTGAACGTTGTTACAGTCTGACTGGTAGTTGTGCTGGAAGAAACCACCCATTTGAAAATCTCCCAGGAAGGGTGCATTAAGACTCACTTTTCAGCAACGTTTAATGCATTCATGTTGCTCAACACATTCAAACCATTGGGATGCGTGAGGGAAATGATAAAGATGGCTTTATATTTGGGCTCGTCAAAGCAAGGAAACGCTCTTCTTGCGAATGTGGGCTCCATTTGAGTGGTGGCTAGATACTGAGTAGTGTTAGAGCTATCGTTGTAGCTGCTTTTGTAGAACCCGTAACCGTCCGAAGTACTGAGTGTGCCATCTAGAAAATTTCATTATAACCCACTTTTGCATGCAAATACTTTGGAGGTTTCACATCTTGTTATAGTGCAACGTGGTTAGTTTTGAAATTGAGCTCTTCAAAACTTAAAATGTATTTTAACTGCTATTAAACCAGCAGTTTAATTTGCTTGAGTACAAATCGGTCAACTATTCTACCTGATAGGTTTGCGAAGCAATTGACTCTTAGTGAAGTGGATAGTTATTGACAATATAACTTATATGGATGGCTAAGATGTGAAGAGCACACTTTGCAAACTAACCGCAATTCCCTAACTAACTCTAAACTCTGAAAACTTACTGAAATCAATTGTCAGTAGATACGTTTGATTAACGGTCAACAGGCTGGATAAAGTAAAATTGGCAATTTCCGTGGTGTTGTCAATCGAAACGCCTGTAACGTTAATAACGTCTGAGCCATTAGTGTTAATCAAGCTGTTCGATGTATTGCTGATGGCCAGATAGGACGGACTGACATGCAGACAAACTTCGGACACATTTTCCGACACTGTGAACAAAATTTGCACAGTTCCAGTATACCCAGTTCCGTTTTCACTAGTGAAAACATCTTCCGGCACGGTCAGGCTGATATTGTAGCTGCTGGGGATGTAGATCGTGGGCAGTCGGTAGCTGAGGGCTGTAGATGCCGCCAACAAAACGACAAACAAATTCACCATCGACATCGTTTGTGTGCTAAAATTAAAATGATAACGCATGATAATGAACCGTCGTCGCAACAATTATTCAAACATTTGAAGGACGCAAATTTCAGTACCACTAATCGATTTTTGTGGCGACATGCATATGCAATGATTAGCTACCTTTAATTTGTAAAATAATTGAGTAATTAGGCTAAGGATTCAATATTGCGCACTAGGAACTGCAGATGGATGGCTTAGAAATGATTGATGGCAAATCACTGTTATGTCGCTGATCATCACATTGAAATTACCAATATTCGGGCTAATCCCATGTTGTATTGTTTGGATTATTTGGGGAAAAACACTTCAACCAGTCATTTTTCTAAATTAAGCGCTTGTTTAATCGATTTCATGTCTATTAATGAGTAATCAAGAGGAAGGCGAGAAAAGTATAGAGGAGTTCTTGCAGATCATCATCTAGATGCACTTTTCGTCAAAAAATTGTCAATTTACTTGCAGGAATTGAAGGATTTTTTGCGCTAATCAACACATTTGTTTAAAATATTTGCACTCAGTCAAACGTTTAACGTGCGATAAACCTACATTTGTTAAACTACAAAAATACCGAATTTTAGTTGTGCATTTCCGAAATGCAGGGTGCCAAAGTGTAAATAAATTGTGTGTTTCTTTTTATTATGTTCTTAACCATTAGTACTACTATAAAAATATTGGGTTTGGGCGTTTTTAAGATCGCGAAATCTAAATTTTCCATTAATTAGCTTGTAGATCCTAACGAGCGTTAGTTGCAATAGTCTGAAGTGATTTAATCAATTAAAAATCGTTCGGGTTTTAAAACATCGCTTTTTTGTTTTGAAAATTTATCATTCACCTGAGGCTGATATAAACTTTATGGTTACCTGAAGCTGCTAATTACAGAAGTCTTAAATACACACGGAATAAAGCCGACAATATTTATGTAGCAAATAGAGCAACACTCTTACTAATTGGTAAAATATTTACCGTTTTTACAGACCGTAACCGTAGAAGATAACACTATCAAATCGCACTTATCATCCGAAAATTCCATTAGTTTTCATATTGCTTTACAGGGATAATAAGTTTCTTGTTTACGGTTGTGTGTAATCATATCTGCACAGATGCTGATGCAAATATTGATCATTCCCTAGCAATTTTCGGATCAACATTTGCAAACAAGGCAACATTGAATGCAAACCAAACGTTCATTGGGGCTGGTGGTCTAGTTCAATAAGGCGATGACAACTGATATGTTTGGTTTCCTTGGAAACGCCGCTATTTTTATTGGGGCAAATGCATGTGCTTTTTAAATCATATGGCGCAAGCTGGTCTACACCAAAGCGTATTTAACAATTGCAAACAGTTGGAGAAGTCAAATCAATTTGCTTGTTCAGCCTGTCGAAAGACACTAAATAAAACACAGCAAAACCAAAATCGCTCACCTTTTCCTTAACCGCTCTTAAGTAGATCAGTTCCTCCTACTCCTTTTTTCTCCTCTAACAAGTCCCCATCAAGCACCACTACACTGAGAGGCAATAAACTGGGAATCATCTCTTATAGTACCCACATTCTGGAACGCTTATCTAATCTCACCCTATCTGCCGCATTTGTTAATCTCTTAATGTGTTCGCCTAAATCACAGTTTCATGCAATGCAATTCGATGATAATATTAAATAGTCGCTTGATTATTACCAATATTGGCCATGAATTGTCGGCATTTTTATGCTTCACAGTTTTTCGGAATCGCACCATTTGCTTTACGACGGATTAGCGTCCCTTATAAAGCGGGTTGTAAACGTGAATGTTGTGGAAAATTGCACCATTTTAGTATTTTTCTCATTTCTTGGCAATCTTCATTTGCCTTTCTGGTTGAGTTTAATGTTAAGCCTGTGGCCCTCCGTCCTACCCGCCGATAATTTTTCCCAACCAAAAACCCTCCAAGCTTCCTATATTTTGCTTCTATGTAATTAAATCAGTGTCGTCCCAAAGGGTTGAGCACAACTTCCCAGAAACCAAAATTTCTCTTGTTACGCCACTAGTTTGGACGCAAGAAAACTTTCTAAACCTGCCTCTTAGAAACGCGCTCCGATACATTGTGAGAGAGTCCACATGAATAAAATCATTAACCAAAATAACCTGAGAGGCCAAAGTGAAGAAAAACTTCCAGCGAGTTTTCGTTTTCAATTTTTTCAGTCTCGAGTAACATACGAGTGCTTTTTCTCGCAACGGTCCACGAAACGTTGTATGTATAGTAGGCCTGTTTTAGGCATTGTCTTTTGTCAATTTTCAAATATTTTTAGCTTTTGCTTCCCGTCCACGCATCTTTTAGAACGCTGGATGAAAACAGCATTTTAAAACAAACTTTTATATTTAAAAACTACTTTACTTAAGAAAATAGAGGATAGTTTTGGCATACTTCAATTGAACTAGAGTTAATTTCTTAATGCAACGATCATCGACAGACCCAGCAGGAGCATAGACACTCCCAATGTGCCTGCACTTGAACCGTCACCATCTACACCTTCGTCGTCATCCTCTTCTGCAGGCGTAGTGGTGGTAGGAGTTGTGGTGGTTGGTGTGGTTGTAGTTGTGGTAGGAGTGGGCGTGGTCGTAGTAGTAGTAGTTGTAGTGGTGGTGGTGGTAGTTGTAGTGCTAGTGGAAGTCGTAGTGGTTGTTTCCGGCTCATTAGGGTCGATTCCATAGTACGCGTGCAGCTCTTCCCAGTACTGATCCAGCCAGACGAGATTGGCTTCTACTGTTCCCAGAGCCGAGCTGGCAGCACTGTGGAAGTCTTCGGCCAGTTCACCGGTTTCGATAAAAGCCCTCAGCTGCAATACAAAGCAATTTTGAGACCTCTATAAAGCTAGAGTCAGTATATACAGAGTGACAATTTAAGAAGATAGGCAAGTCATAGCGGGATTCTGAATGTTGCCTATCTTTTCTGTTCCCCAGATGTCTTTGTCACCCTGTGTGGAAGATGTTGAGCTATTTACTGCTGTGCTACAAGCGCAGCATCATTTCCAGGGCGTCCGAAAATAAATGCCAATTTTCTGACTAGAATCATCAGAACTTTGAGAGCAAAATCTTGTAGCGTTTATTTGCGCACACCCTGTATAAATGTGCTGCTACCAACCTCGTTGAGTTGTTCTTCTGTGGTGAATCTTGCGGCCAATGCGCTGATCATGTTGCTGAGTGCATTCAAGCTCTGATAACTAAATGAAAGAGTCTGTTAGTCTGGCGATTTGCGCCCGATTGTTCTGAGCCTCACCGTTCGTTGATGATGGCATGGTTTTCCTGCAGGAATTTGAACGCAATGTCAATGCCCATAGTACTGCCTTGATGGACGGCATTGAAAACGGACAAAGCGTCCTGAGAACGAATTCCGGAAGTGGGATCCAGAGACAGTTCCAGATACCTGATCAAATTCCATTTTCGTTCACTTATCAATCATTCGCAAACGTTCAGTGTATGACAGGGTTTTACGATTTCAGGCATTTAGAACAATAACGATATTAAGATAAGAGCAGCCGGTTATCGTAATTGATGTTTAGAAAGTTTATGAGAGCTTGTATAAGGTAATTTTGTTTTTATAGCAGCGGCACAGTTTGTTTGCTCGAATGATTCAAGGGCCATAAAGTATTAATATTCTGAATACCTTTGAAGAATTTCTTCATTCTGAATACAACCAAGGGCCGAAATAATCCTCACTCTTTCTCCAGCTATTTGGGAGCTGGCGTATGCTGACCACAGCAGTTCCCAATCGCTAGAACTGTTTCCATAGCGCAAGGCGTTGCAGTATACGACAGATCTCACGTTATTAGTAGGCCTGTGGACAAGCACCAAAATGACCAGCTGAAGTCGGGAAGATTATCAAAACAGTACCTTGTTCCAGAAATTCTGTACTCGCCGAACCGTTCCAGGGCGTGGTTGATGCAGTTCTGCAGCCCCAATCTGCAGGCCAAAGTTAGAATGTCCACTTGCTTCAACGTGTAGGCGTGATCGGTTCCGTTCAGTCTGATCCAAGGCACGGTGGAGTAGATGTTTGTTAGCAGATCCAGTACATGGCTCTAAATATAGAGGTTTAATTGAGATTGAGAGGAAATGATTCGATTTCGAGTCTTAGAACGTCCAGCGGTTCGGACACACATTGTTTCAACAAGTTTCCAAAGATTTAACAGTTTTATTTAAAGCCATTTAAATGTTTTGCGCTTACCAAACATTTGAAACCATTTAAAGAGTTTTCAAATATTTTTCTTGATTTCGCAGGTTTAAAGCAAAATGCCGCAATCAAAACTGAGTTGTAGAACGCTTGAGAAGAAATAACTCACCGAAACGGCTCTACCCAGACGCGAATCCTGTCCAACTCTGCTCAATAAGAAGTTGAAGCCGCCGATGGCAGGGAACCAAGCATGATGTGAAGTGTCGTTTCTCAGAAATTCGATTATACCAAACGCTCTGGTATAGTTAATTCTATTTGCTCTAGCCAGATGGAAGGCATCGTCCACGAACGAAGCTCTGTTTTCTTCAGGAATGCTCGAGAAGTTGGAGGCTTGAAGAGCCTCGATTAGAGGATCCCACATGGTGTTGTAGTTGACACGATAGTAGCCTTGAAAAATTAAATTTTTAACATCAAAATTTCCTGTTTTCCTGAAACTGCTTAATATAAAGAGCATACAAAACACTAATTACATCAGGCAGTAGAAAATATTTGAGAACTTTAAACTTTAAGCAGAAAAATTCTGAATAAACCGAAGTAGTTTGTTTCAGAAAGTGTTTTGTGTTTTGCAGCTACTTTTTCGGTTTACAAATTTTGGTGTCATGGAAATACTGAAAAATTAATAAAGTGGGAATTTTCTGCACCCTTCTGTTGAGGTTGGGGTAAACCATTTTTTCCTTCTCAAGCGATTCTGTTAAAACCTGCTCACCCAGAAAGCCAGTCTGGGACGAGAACTTTTTTCAAATTCTCCTGATTCAACCCTTAAAAGTTGGCGATTTTTGGTTATATTTCAATTAGGGATGAAAAGTATTTCAGACCTGGAACGTGTAACCGCAGTTATAAGTATCCAATTTAACAGGTTATTTTCTGCATTGTTAACTAGGCACTAGCAGGAAAAGCATCAGCAAAAAAAATATTCTTTAATGAAAATTTGGTACTTAAATATTTTTGCATGCAAAGCGTTTATCTTCTCTAATCCATTTTATTATCAGGTTTCTGTTCTTTAAGCAGTTACTTATGACCCATGTTTTGTTTTTTGTTTTAGAATATATTTTTTCAGTTTACCAATTATTTATCATTTCTACTATCATTATTACGAATTTTTAATGAAAAATTTTGAAAAGTAACATGTTACTTTTGGAACTGCACTTCGAACCTATTACCAAAGTGGAACTGGAACCTTGTAACCGGAAAATACCGGTTTAGCACACCTCTAATTTCCTGTTACTTAAAACAATGAAGCAAAAACTCTTGCGACCCACCGGGAAAATTAATAAATACCCACCAGTGACTTGATTATTAAGAACAACCCAAGAGCCAGTAAGGAACGGAATCTCCACTATTCCAATAGGCAGCAGCCAATCCTGGGGAGAGGAATTTCCGAAATTTCCTGAATTGGTGCTGACCGTGTAGCTAATAGGGATGTACCACCGGGCAGCACTGTCGTTTCCATTCAACAAAAATCGTCCCTACAAACCAAATCCCATAACGTTGAAAGCAAAGAACCAAGCGGAATCGAGCAACTTGCCTCTTGTGTCACTGCAAGCGCTACACCGATGTTTCGGACTTCCAGGATCGGGTATCCAGGATTTTGGACCCAGTTGCGCATAATCTGGCTCAAAGTTGTGTTATACGGGAGTCTGGAACGGTCAACCAGAGCTTCGTCCAGTGTGTTCCACAGGTCATCCGGCAAAGTGTTCTGGAAAGCGCTGAAAGGATTCAATTAGCCCGTGACTTGGTTCTACCGCAATGAAACTCACTAGTTTCTCAGGTAGTTTCGCAGTCCTTGAATGAAGGTTTCTTTGCCCAAAATATGCTCCACCATCCGGAATATGCTGCCACCTGGAAATTGAGACATT